ATAACTATACAAAAAAATATAAAATACGCAACATAGAATTACATTTTTGGATTTTTCGTAATATAAAACAAATTTGTATTTCGTTGACGYACTTCTAGAAGTTTTACAAATAATTAAGGAGCCGATAATACTTCAATTTTAGCGTTATTATACATTTTATAAGTGATTTTCAATGTTTTTGGAAATAATAATTCACCATTGTACAATCAAGGCTAGGCAAGTTTATGATATTTTTTAACTCAGCTAAGTTAAATTAAAATCTAAATTAAGTTAATAATTAAAAGTTAATTCAAAATTGTCTATCAATTGAACTAAGTTAAGAGTTAACCAACATTTAATATTAACTTTTTAGCTTAAGTTAAGTTTAAAAATAACAAGTTTCTTGTTTTCATATATTATAATTTTATAATTTTATATGTTCCAAAATGTAACAGTTAACATTTTTTTAAAGTTAAAATACTTATACCTACCATAGAAAATGTGTTCTAGCAATTTGTATACCTTGAATTTATTATCCACATAATTTTAAAATAAAAATTTATAATTTTTGAAATTGTCTTTATAATTTTTGCTAAAAATACTGCTAAGTATTTTTTTTATAATAATAAAATTTACATTATAATATACTTTACTTTAAATTTCTTAAATTATAAAATGTATGATTTAAGGAACATAAATATAATTCAATACGTCATATTTAAATATTTTATACAGCTAAAAGTCTAAAACGCTCTTGTAGACACAAAATAGTAAAATATTAAAAAAATAATGCACTATTWAACAATTTTCACTGTGCTCAATTATATACCTATTAATAACAACCTTGCTCTAAATATATAAACATATACCTAAATTGAAATAGTAAATATAAATTGAAATAATTAATAARATTGATCAAATATTAATAGAAAATATAATTTACTTTGCGATAAACAGTGTCCACCAACATTTTTTTTTTTTGTGAAAACCTAACCATTACCTAATCTAAAATGCATTTCCAAAAAAGGAGTAATAATAAATTAAATTGATCCCTCATTTTTCTATCAAATTTATATTTATTGTTTTATTTTCATTTAACCACCAAAAAAAGTCTAAAATATTTTTATACCAAATGTTCAATTTGTCGATGAAGGGGGAAATCCCCCCCCCCTGTTCCCACAGATTGCGCTGCTGCAGCTAATGGCCATAGTTGCCGGGCTTATGATTAATAAAATTAAAAAACAAAATAAATAAGTATAATATGTATAGTGAGTTTAATTATTATTATGTATATTGATGTTTTAAATAGTTATGTTATCACCGTGCGTCGTGCAGACCACCACGAAGACAAMKGAGACCGTTTTTTATTTTAATATCTTGTAATTTTATTGTAAAAGCAGTTAGTCTATCAGTCACCATTCGCCTGCAAGTTCGGAACGTGCAGTATGTTATAATGTAGACATTATGTTCAAATTGTTTCTTTTCTAAATTAACATATCCCGACGATCAAATAACGAATCTAACCACTTTATCACCAAGTTGAAAACTCTTAATCGAATATCCCAATGTTTTCCTTGCGTACCAACCAGGTATTAATACAATACCACGGAAAACGAAATAAACAATTTCCTCTACCTACTATGTGGGTAATTAATTGATATTCCGTTTTAAATAAAAACCAAATATAATAATAATATTAACTATTAATATATTATACGAAAATTTCACTGTTATTGCGCAATGCCACTATGTAAATGTCTATTCAATATTGTATAGGCCAGGCAGTAAGCCAGTGTCGTACATCGGCGCTGCAATTGACGACGACACTGCAGCAGTATTGCAATTAATGCAATTTGCAGCAGATGACGTAMCTATAGGAGAAGTGGTGGTTGTAGGATGTACGTGTGTGCACGGCAAACAACGCGCGTCGCCATGTAACGATATTGTAAACTGTATACTTCTAATAACTAAATAGATAATTAATTTTTTTGGATTTTTATCTTTTGAAGGCTCGTCTGCACACCGAGTACTCGCGTTAGAAAAAGAAATCATGAAAATTGGTCAGGTTAGAACTTCAAATATAACAACTGTCATAAGAAATCGTCACACGTTTTAACAATACACGAAGATAAAAATTATCTGATCTGCTTGTTAATATTTGTATATATTATAGTAAATAGTGAATACAATCTACATAGATGGTAATTATAGTAAATAGATAAATAATTAATCATTCATAACTTCATAATATTATAGGCATTTTATTTAGTATTCATATTTTTTTATACGAAAATATGAAACTAAATTACATAACRATTAAAACTGAAAATTGAAATCATCTTAACTTGTTGGTATGTAAATAAAATTAACTCAGTGACTTAAAAGTTAATTCTTCGTACTCCATAAGTTAATAATAATAAAAAAAATAACTAATTAAGTTAAAAAGTTAAATTAACTAAACTTTAACTTGTTAACGCATTAATGCCCAGCCTTGTGTACAATACGTTTCCGTTACCTATCTTTTCTTTAACACACATTTCTATACTGCAGATTGTACGATTTATAGAATTTTTTGAGGAATTAAAATCTCAGCCTTACAAATTTCAAAAATATGATATTTTACTTTATTCATAATATTGAAGTTGATTAAAAATAATATCGTATCTTATTTGTATATAAATATACGATAAAATAATATGGTCATGTTAGCAGAAATAGACAAAATAAGATATTTATATTATTATTAGAGCATTTTCGGCTTATACCAACATTCAAACAGATTTAATTACCACTACACGGCAATATTTAATTGTAAAAATATCAAAGTACGTTTAGGTGGTTCCCATACCACATACTATATGAAATATTCTGTGCCCATACTATACAAGATATAACATTATTTAACATGTGTAAAATATCATCGTTATATCCTATTTCCAAGGGCGCGAACGAGATATTGYTTAAAATGTTAGTGATCGCATGCGTTGTAATTTTACCACAGAGTAGTTTAACTAATTCCGTCAACGCATACTAAGTGTGTTTGATGCGTACAAAACATAAAATATTTGTACATACCAATAAGTGCTTTTTTRGCACTCATATATTTTTATCGTAATAGATTTTCAAGCTTTATATTGCTTTAAACGCCTAAGTATGCTCAATCTCATATTACATAGAAGATTTTTCCGAGAATTATAATATCTAGGCAAGGTTAGATTTTATGGATTAAGGGGTTCTCAATATAATACATACAAAATAATATACTAATTTATCTAATGATCTCATTGAGTCACATTGAAAAAAATACAATGACRCCTAAGTATTTTTACCTATATCACATTGAGTACAGCAAACGTCCAATGTAAGGCCCGTTAAAAAATGTATAACTTAGGCAAAACTATATGTACTATATGTACTATATGTACTAAAATTCTGATAATGAGGGTTCATTATGTATTTTATCAGCATTCTGCACAGTTAGAAACTAATAAGAACTAGGATCCATAAAGACAATGTATTGTGAATTTGTGATCCAAATACATAAATCACCTGAATCAGACATATAATTATAGAAGTTACTGCAATAAACATCAAATGCTCAGTTTTATTTATATGTTTTTAATACCAAATATTAAATAAGAATATTATAATGACAAATAATAAATGTATAATCTATATCAGTAAAATTATTTTTAAGTGTATTCATAATTTATATACTTATTGGTCAATAAAAGTTTACATATATAATAAAAATTATCAGTACTTTCAGATAAATTAAAATTTGTTACTTTAAAATTAAATAATATAAATTGATATCTCATTATATAAAAACTAATACAATTAAAATGGTATGTATATTAAAATGAGTTTTAAAAATTTCTCTGTAAATAATATTATTAGGTAACTTAAGGTAATTAAACATTTTTTGTTTCATTGAAGTTAGATTAAATTTTAAAAACCAAGAGTTATATTATTGTTATTTTAT